CTAGTTGTTAAAGAGGAACCAGTAAATCAGAAGACTGAAGCACGGCATATACTCACCTTAGTCCACAAACACTTCTGTACTCGACTTTCTAGTTACATTCAGAGACCTCAGTTGATTCGAGCAAAAGTGCCAATTGTGAAGTTCAGGGATAAAGTCAGTTGTGTGGAGTTCGACTTGAATGTAAACAATATTGTTGGAATAAGAAACACATTCCTTCTCAGAACTTATGCATACCTTGAAAATGGAGTTCGTCCATTAGTACTGGTGATTAAGAAGTGGGCCAGTCACCATGATATAAATGATGCCAGTCGCGGTACTTTAAGCAGCTATAGTCTTGTACTGATGGTTTTGCACTATTTACAAACCTTACCTGAACCCTTCCTTCCATCCATCCAAAAAATTTACCCAGAATCTTTTAGTCCTTCTGTACAGTTGCACCTTGTACATCAAGCGCCATGTAATGTTCCTCCTTACCTCTCAAAGAATGAATCAAACCTTGGGGACCTCTTACTGGGCTTTCTGAAGTACTATGCTACAGAATTTGACTGGAATAGTCAGATGATTTCAGTTCGTGAAGCCAAAGCCATTCCCAGGCCTGATGGTATTGAATGGAGAAATAAATACATCTGTGTAGAAGAACCTTTTGATGGAACAAATACAGCAAGAGCTGTGCATGAAAAACAGAAGTTTGATATGATCAAGGATCAGTTTTTAAAGTCATGGCACAGATTGAAAAACAGAAAAGATTTGAACAGTATACTACCTTTAAGAGCTGCTATCCTGAAAAGATAACTGGCCTCTATTTCTTAATAAAGAACAGTAGTTACATCACACACAAAAAAAATAAAATAAACTACATTATCTCATCTGACCAATACTTGGGCTTCCCTAGTAGCTCAGCCGGTAAAGAATCCGTCTGCAACACAGGAGACCTTGGTTTGATTCCTGGGTCGAGAAAATCCCGAGGAGAAGGGATAGGCTACCCACTCCGGTATTCTTGGGCTTCCCTGGTGGTTCAGATGGTAAAGAATCCAACCGGCAATGCAGGAGACCCTGGTTTGATCCCTGGGTTGGGAAGATCCCCTAGAGGAGGGCATGGCAATCCATGCCAGTATTCTTGCTTGGAGAATCCCCATGGACAGAGGAGCCTAGTGGGCTACAGTCCACGGGGTCATAGAGTCAGACATGACTGAGCGACTAAACACAGCACAGCATCAGCCGATTTACTCCGCTGCATCAGACTCACAACTATCACCATAGCACTGTGCCAATTACAACCCATAAAGCCAGGTTCTGACTTAATTTTCTGGACTCAATCTTTCCTTAACTCTAAGTTTCCAACTGCCTTTTCTCCTGAATAAATACCAGAGCCCTAGTCCTATGGTGGTGAGCACCTAATATTTTACTATTTGGGGTGGGGGGCGTGGTTTAAGAATCTGGTAACACTAGCATGAGAGAACAAACAGTTGATTAAATTATGACTTAAACCAGTACAAAGTTCACTCTAAGATCCTGGAAGGCAGGGGCAATCTCTTTCATCCTCGACAGTTCAGACATATGCTCTCAAACTGACTGAACAGAGGACACTTTGTGATCAGAAACCCTGCATTAGCTCTATCTAAAAAATAGGTAATGACTACAGTAAATACAGATATGATGGATTAATGACAGCTAAGGAGTGATTTCCTTTAATTACACTTAATATATGATTTAATTTCTATTTCCTCTGAAATGTTTAATAATAAAATGGCCACTTTACCTAGGTTCCAAAGTATTCTGTAAAAAGGGAACTTTCCAAAAAATGAAGTCTGTGCTGGAATGAATGATAGAAACACAAACTCAGCAAACACATTAAAATATAAAGAGCTTTACAAGTTAACTTTACAGGATGTGATTTAATTGGCAATTTTATTGGTAATTTAAAAGGTTAGTATTAATTACACCAATTTAGAGGGAAAGTGATTTTTTTTAAGTATGTATACCAGGCTATCAGTACGAAAGGCAAGGAAAGCCTTACAGCTTTTCACCTTTTGATAGGTAGATTTTTAAAAAATTAATTTAATTGGAGGCTAATCACTTTACAATAGTGTAGTGGTTTTTGCCATACATTGACATGAATCAGCCGTTGATTGGTAGATGGCTTTACTTGAGAACATAAAGTTTTCAAAATGACATATCTGAGAAATGAGGTTAAAATTTTTAGATAGTTTCCTACATATAGTGTACCTTTTGGAATTACCTTAGTGTGTAACTTCCAATACACCTGTTTGACAGTTTAAACTTAGAATTAAGGAATTAGTGTCCTGGCATAATTTCAATCTACTCTGTAGTTTATACACTTAAACTGGATATCTTTTCATTTCTTTAAAATTTATTTTTATTTGGCTGTGCCAGGTCTGATCTTCAATCTTCACTGCAACATATGGTAGTTGCATCATGTGGGATCTAGTTCTCTGACCAGGGTTTGAATCCCAGGCCTTCTGCATTGCAGCCTGAAGTCTTAACCACTGGACCACCAGGGAAGTTCCTTCATTCTTTAACAGATATATACCTGTATTATAGCAATGCTGTTCTTAACTTGGATTTGGAAATAAATGCTTTATACTCCTAAAGTCAATTAAAATTCAGTAATCAAAGTAGCTGTATACTAACATGAATTGCTATGGAGTATATTTTAATAGTCATATCACTATACTTAACATTGTTTGGGGGTGTTGTCAATTCTAAATACATGCACAAAAATAACATGCAAACGTGTCCCATTAGCATTTTAAAAAAATCTTTGGACCATTCCACTTGAAAATGAGTAATTCATTAAATAAAAACAACAAATAAACTTAAAAAAGATATTCCACTTTACTAATAAGCAAAGATATGCAAATTAAAACATTTATGTTTCATCTTTTAAAGAGGCAAAGCTGCATCAACAATAGTAAAATTGGTATATATCAACAGTTTACCATAGGAGGAAATTATACTCAAATACACAAGTGTAAGAGTAAAACTGATATAATCTCATTGGAGGGAAATTTAATATGTTTAAAATGTATACACCCTTCCACCAAGCAATTTTACTTGTAAGAAATTATGCTAAAGGAGATAAATGCCCAAGTTCACCAAGATATTATTTATAATACAGGAATACTTCCTTTTATTGCGCTTTCCTTTATTGCACTTTGCAGATACTGCATTTTTTATAAATTGAATGTTGGTAGTAACTCTGCATTATCAGATGATGGCTAGCATTATTTTAACAATGAAACATTTTAAATTAACATGTGTTTTTTTAAGACATACTATTATTTCACAGTTAACACACTGCACTGTAGTGTAAACGTAACTTTTATATGCACTGGAAAATAAAAAAAATTCATGTGACTTGTTTTATTGTGATATGCACTTTACTATAGGGGCCTGGAACTCAATCCACAATATCTCCAAGGTATGCCTGTAATGAAAAAGAAGAAGTCTGCCTAAATGTTCATCCAAAAGAAACTTTGAAACTAGTTATGGTATACAAAGAGGCATTAAAAAGAATATCAAATATCAAAGACTTTTTCTACTTGAGTGAAATAAACAGATTACAGTTAAGTATATATGTTATGATTACATTACTGTAGAGAAAACAATAGTATGTTGCAGTATAAATTCAGAAGAAAATAAGAAAAGTTAAGACAAACAAGATGTTAAAAATAGTAGTTGTCAATTTACTTTTAACTTTATTTAAAAATTTGTTTGGGGGGAGGGGTAGAAAGACTCTCTGCAAAGAACAATCCCATAGTACACCAGTTAGTCAGTCAGTTTAGGTATATGAGAAAAAAACTGGGGCAAGATAAACTTGACAGGACTATGAAAGAGTGATTTTTTTTTCTTCACCTGAAGAGGGGTAAATAACATCTTAACCCTTCCACATACTGCCCCAATGGAAGTATACATACTCAAAATGCCTATTTTTACCTTCGAGGATATTACTGCTGACAAGTTATTACCGTTCTAGGATCCTAGTATTTCAGAGCAAACAGCATTTAATCTTACTTTCAACTGTTTACTGTGTATTTAGGTTATTTCAAGTCTAAAACTATTTCATTAAAAAATTCCTTACCACTGGAAATTTTCAACAGATAGTGACAACTATTCCCAGCTTTAAATATAAACTGGAGAAACCATTAACAAAATATTGTCTTGTGGCACTTCAATTTCATTCCAGTATCTGAACTACAAAAAAATTATAACTAAGTTCACAGTAGCTTTCTTTTATCTTAACACAAGTTACCAGTGTATATATAAGCTGTGAACAACAGAAGCTCTATGATATCCAGACACGCAGCTCATGAGAAAAAGTCTTAAGAGCAAAATATCCACTTAGTTTTGAAATTAAATGAGGTGCTCTGCCTTCCCTGTCAACTGCCAAGCAATAGGCTCTTTATATCTTTCCCATTCATTACTGACTGATACAGCAGTTTTCAACATTTTCATTAGATCTGTGATCATTTCATGTTTTTCCCCTAATCTTTCAAATAGATCTGTCCATTTTCTCACTGATAAAAATTAATAAGCTGATGGCACACCAGTTTCCTTTTAGCTCTTAATTTTAAAAAAATGTTATGCAACTTTATTTTCTGATTTTAATATTTTTTCTAGTGGAGTATTTTTCAAAACATTTAAGCAAATCTTATAGTAGGTGACCTAGTATCAATGTGCTACTTAGATATACCTAAAATAAACTACTAAGTTTAAACAAAAAAACTTCCATTTTACTTAATAAATTTCTGAGGATCCCAAAAAGAAATCATTCAAAATGTTATAGTCTAGTGTTTATTTTGTTATGGCAGGTACACTTGAATTTCAAAAATTTAAAACATATAAAAAGTGGTTAGGGACTAACATTTGTATCAACAGTTGATAAATGTCTAAGATTGTTTATTATACAGCAGGGTGCAATGGTAGTGCTAATGCCAACAGGGCACTGTGGAAATTAGTCTAAAAATTACTATTAGGCTTTATACAGGCAACAACATTTGCTGCTGTTTTAGAATTTGGGGACACAGTCTGCTTCTAATGCTAAGCAGTCCATGAACACTTTTAATGTTATACAGTGTTGTAGTAATTAGTTTGGCAAATGTTTCAAAATAAAGTAGAAATGTATTCATAACATCACAGAAATGCACATCCAGTTTTGTTTTCAATAAGAACCATAGTAGGTACAGGTCAGAACTCTTCCCTATATGAAATAATTTACACACAATGAATGCTATAATATCACTATCTAAAATAATCACTAAATACAATTCTTTTTCAGAAATAAACAAGCAAAGATTTTTTTTCATTATCAAATATCAAAAACATAGAGAATGTATGTTTTTCAAACAAATGATATTCTAAAATTATTGGAATAATTTCAGTGAATTCCATAAATGTGCAACCTAAATCAACCAAGTATATTGAAGTACAACCATATTAAGAAACTGATGATCAGAAAATACAACCATATGAAATAAACTTATAATCCACAAAACTGTTTTTCAGGTCTAACAGTTCCACAGTTTACAGGTAAAACAGAGGCGACAAAAATGCGTGCTTGTCTTCAATAAGTAGGTATTTTATGCAGAGGATGTAACACTTTGCTTGTAGACAGCATGGTATGCATTTCTCAGCAAGACATAAGGAAAACAAGATTCCAAAAGATCCATTGTCAGGAATGGGGATTCCTGCACAATCTGAAAAATTCCAAAAATGTATTAATTCAAGTTATTTATAATGGGAACATTTACTGACAATGAGTAAAGCATAATTTTATATTGCTCTTATTGGGAACACATATAAAATTTTTACTTTTACTTTAAAACTACTTTACTTTACTTTAAAATCTGAAATGTAAATGTGCCATAGTGTATGCATCAAAACATTTTAAATCACTACTTCTCAATTAAATCAGTTAATCAACAGGAAATACCAAGCACTTGCATTGCCCTCAACAATATACTATTTATTTAAAATGTGGTCCATATCATCAAGTCTAACTGGGAACGCAACACTAAGCTAAAAAGCCAAATCAAACCTCAGACCATCTATGATTAAGTGGAAAGCTGCTAAATTCTAGAATTTTCAAAAGAGAAGAAAAATCAATGTAGGCTAAAGTCATCAAAGTCTATCTAAAAAAAGGATCTTAGCTACAAAGTACGCTGCATCATTATTAGGCGAGACACAGACCTCAGCAGATAAAGGAAATCATTTTAAGTGAGGAAACAATCACACCACAGAAACAAGCACAGCTGGCTTCAGGCAGTGAAGAGAAGGAACTGACTAGGCACAGAAAGTTACAGGAAATCTTATCAGATGGGTGAGATGGAGTCAAAAAATAGAACATTCGGAAAACTGGAAGAGATGAAACTAGGAAGAATAGGAAACATAAAGCCTGGGTGTTTCCCAGTAAGTTGAAAAACTATTTATAAAAGAACACTCTACAGGTAATGATGATTCATTCTGTTGTTTTCTGATATCCTTACCATATGGCAGTCTTTTCAGCAACTATTAGAAAGTGTGTGGCTTGGGTGGAGTGAATATAAGTGGTCAAAAAAGTACATCAGCTCTTATTTCCATTTAATGACTAAAATACCAAGAAAAGACTATCAGGAATGACTGGCAACTTTTTGTGATTAACAAAAATTACAATAAGACTTACCATATCTAGCAGTAAATAAACAGATTCTCTATTTCGTGTAGTTGTTTTATCTGTCTCCTGGCCAATTTTCAGTAGACTGGAGGATGCAAGCTTAAAAGTATACATATATTTTAAGTAAATAAGTTTTTTAAAGTAAAACTTTCACTAGATTATTTGTTTATTTTCAGTATGCTTCAACTTGCAACACATTTCAATCACAAGGTGAGCTTAGGTTCTATACTTTTAAGCAACAATTTAAGAGCTATTAAGGTATAAGCAGACACAAAGATAATAAATTATACTGTAAAATTATTAGAATGATTTCCATTATTGGAAAAATAAATATTTGGTTAAGGTAATCAAATATTCTTACTGGTCTTTAAAACTTATTTTTTTAAAGAAAAAGTTAAAAAAAAAACCACAACAATTTAAATTCCTTTTTCTCTTCCCAACATCTGTACTAACTATATTTCTTAATTTCCAAATAAGAAAATTTCACACTGAGTTTGAGTTAATAATAATACAGTGAGATTAAGACATTAAGTCTTAAATTAAGGAAGTAAAATGAAAAAGAAAAATTTTAACTCTTAATATTGTTTTCTTTGAAATAGATGTTATTTTATTCTCCAATTAGTACTACATTTGCTTGAAAAATTAAAAAAATAATTTTAAAAAGCTAACAGGATTTATAACTTGGAAAGACACAAATATTCTAGTGTTCTTAAATCACAAGTGCGTCTTTTAAGTAAAATATGAAAAAAGTACGCTGATAAAGGAAAGAAAGAGCTACACTAGCACAGAAACGAAGCGCAGTACTTCCTGGGGCCAGAGTTAGCATTACTACCTTCTTTTGGCAGTGAGTAGTATTCTTATTTTTGAGTTTGTCTCCATTCAGACTTTCTCCAAATAAATGGAAATAAATAAAATACATCCTTTTAGAGGGAACATTCATCCTCTGTATCAATTTTCCTTTAGTTTTTTTTTTCCTCTTTCAAACACTAGGCAAAATTCTAGAGCAATCCAAACATCAGCTCAGAAAAAAATGTCATACTGCAGGGCTCTAGAAACAAGAGACTGCTAGCCAAGGGGGAAAATGCCAACCTAACTGCTCCTTGATTTTAATGCCCTGTCTTTACCTGTCTCTTCTTCCAAAAATAAATAAATTAAGAGACTTTACTTTGTTACACCCCACAGTTGTGATTTTTAATTTTCTCTAAAAAAAAAGTCATGAATTTTGCTTGATTATACATACCGCCAAAAATTCTTTAAGCCGATCTTCAATGCTTCCTTTGTGAATTGTAAACAAAGCTGCAGCGATCTGGTTGATGGCTTTGGCCAAGCAATGTATGTTGTTGCAGTGCCCTGAGAAAGTGCATATAGGGTGTGTGGTTTCTGTGTGACCCCAAAATATCAAATCTTTAATGACTTTATAATCTACATAAATAGCGGTGTGATTAAAAACAGAGCTGAGGCATGACCTGCCTGGCCCTCTCTTCACTTTCATGAGAACTAGTGCTTTTAAAAATAGTGTAGACGAGAGCAACAACCATAGCTGTATTGAACAGGCACATTTTCAAAAACCCCTAAAAGAAACCATACATCAGTTTTACACTGTCTTGGAAACTTATTAGCTGCTTAGCCGCTTTACAAACATTTCCCCATTCAATCCTTACAATAACCCTAAGAGCTGGATAGTCCCCTCACTGTCCCCTGCCACATACACATACAGGCACCCACAGGCTCACATGTACACACTCCACATGCATATGTGAAACTGGGGCTTGGAAAAAGAAAAATTCAGTCTTGTAAGATTACACATCTAGTAAGTAGCAAAACTTAATCCACTTATTGTGTTAAAAAAAAAAAGTACAATTACTTGAAAAGTACCTACTATATCAAAGCTCATAACTTTCCAAGTGCCAAAACAATTTAAAACTACTATTACCTTCTATAGCAGGGCTATACTGAGACATCACGTTACTGGCCAGTGTGGGCAAAGAAACGGCCACAAAGACCATGAGGAGGCAGGCAATTTTATATTCTTCTTCTGGACTTATGTTTTCTAAGGCAGAAAAATTACAAATAACATCAAGGTATTTCTTTCAAGATTAGTTAAGAGTTGATCTAAAGCAGAAAAAGCACATTTTAATTTTTATGTATTTTACTGAGTCTCTATAGAGCTGATTACACTTTTGTTAAAAGAAATACAGAATGCATAGAAATAATACACAATAGTATCAGCCTTTTATCAAGCCGTTAAGCATATTTCAAGGACATCTAAAAAAACAGTAAGGCAAAATGTCCTCTTTCTTTTTTAAATTGTAAGGTTACAGGACTAAAAATATATTTAGAATAACTAGAATCCTAAAATCTTCTACTTGATAACTAATAATAAATTATTTAATAGGAAAATTCTGTTTCAGTATAGAAAATTATCTAACTTACTCTGCCAAATCATCCAAAAATTTCAATTTTTTTCTAAAATAGATATACATGTGATCTGATATTTACTATTAAAAGATATAAATGTGTAAACTGGATTTCTAACCTCTTCATTTTAGAAGACAGGAGGAACCAGTCATAAATGAATATAAGTAACACTGTCCAAAGGTTTTAAATATTTATTTTAAAATGATTTATCTAAAATATTTATTGTATCCTTATACTAAAATTGTGTGTTATCTAGGTACTTCACGTATCTGGTACCTGTGTTATCTAGGTACTTCACTTATCTGGTACCTGAGAACTTCAAGTCACTCCACTAACTATATGTAATTAAGAATTTCAGACAAGAGTTAATATATTTGAAAAATCTAGCCGTTTATGACTATTCACAACAGTCAAAACATGATAATAATCCAAATGTCCATCAACATATGAGTGGATAAAGATATCCATCAATAGATGAAGCCATAGAAAAGAACAAAACAATGCCAATTGCAGCAACATGGATGCAACTAGAAATTATCATACTAAATGAAGTAAGTCAGAAAGAGAAAAGTCAACCACCATATGGTATCATGTGGAATATATACCATATAATATATGTGGAATCTAAAATATGGCATGGGCTTCCTTCATGGCTAAATGGTAAAGAAATTGCCTGCAATGCAGGAGACCCAGGTTCAATCCCGGGGTCAGGAAGATCCCCTGGAGAAGGAAATGGCAACCCATTCCAGTATTCTTGCTGGAGAATTCCATGGATAGAGGAGCCTGACAGGCTACATTTCATGGGGTCTCAAAGAATCAGACATGACTGAGCAACTAACACTTTCATTTTCAAACAACAAGGTCTTACTACAGCACAGGGAATTCTATTCAATACGCTGTGATAAATCACAACTGAAAAGAACATTTATGTGTGTAACTGAGTCACTCTGCTGTACAGCAGACCGGCACAAACCGTCAATCAATTATATACACTTCAATGAAACGTTCTTAAACCTAGCTGACTATAAAAAATGCAGCCCTGGCAAGTCAAGCTAGGAGCAATAATTATCCATGTGACTATAATGAACATATTGCATATATGATGAAACAAGACTAATGTCAAATCAAAAAAGAACTCATGAACTCAGTCAAACACCATGTTACATCCAAGGAAGTAGGGGAAGGCATGTTAGTACCAGAAATAGATGAAACACTTTACTTTGTGGAAAAAACTAGAATTCTGAGAAATAAATTTTAAAGGGCTGATCTTAAAATATTTCAAATATTTAATATTACATAACAATGCACAGGCTTTCTATGCTAAGTAGCTCTAGTCCAATTAAAATAGAACACACTTTCATATTTTTTATACATTTAAAAAATTTATGTTTTAGGGGTTTTTTTTTTTTTATTTTTTGGCTGTGCCACAGCTTGTGGTATCTTAGTTCCTAATCACTGGACTGTCAGGGAACTCTCAAGACACCATTTTCTAGATAACAATGTTTCTATCTATCAGGTGATTTCCATCAGCAGACAAACACTGTTATTTTCCCATCTGAAAAATAACTCTTCTCTTGATTTTACTTTTGCCTCTAGCTACTAGTTTTATTTCTTTGCTCCCCTTTATACAGTAAAACTCTGCAAGAGAGTTGTTCTATACTCATTATCTCCCATTTCTTTCTTCTATTTTTTCTTCAGCCCTCTTTAATGAGCTTTTTGTGACACTGCTCTTGTCACACCTGTTAATTCTACACAGCTGACCATTCCTCTCACTCAAAGGGAAGGGATTCTCTCCTGGTTTTCTTCTCCTTCACAGATCCTTCTGGTAGTCCCTCCTCTTCTCCCTGAACTCTTAAACTTGAGGGTGGCCCAGGACTCAGACTCTGACCCTCCTCACCTCTGCACACTAAATGGGCTTACTGACCTTACCCAGTCTTAAGACTTAAATATCTAATCTCTGTGATGACTGCGCTATAACATAAGCTTCAGAAGACAAGGATCTTGGTATTTTCTGCACTGATATACTCCAACTACCAAAAAAATAAAACCAACAAAAAAACCCCACTGATATAAAGCAGACACTTGAACAGATAAGCATTACATCTATATTTGTGTTGCCCTGGTTATTTAATAAGACCACTGCGTAATCACTAATGTATTTTACCTGATTTTTGTGAGGAAAGAGCTACCACCAAGGCAGGATCAATCTCACAAGGTAATCCAGCAGCTGAGGATAACTCATACACATTCATTGCGACCTAAAAAATATAAAAACTAGAGTAAGAAATATACTAACAAATTTCTGAGAAATCTCACTTCAGCAAGAAAAAATACATAATGTTTAAATTCGAGTTGCCTATAAGAACACTAGAGAATTTACAAAACTTGGCTTAAGAGGGAACTATATAGTACAACTAACTGTACTAAACAGCTGACTTAGTATTAGTACTGTGTGTGTTGCTGATTATAACTTTATACTATCAGGCCAAACAAAACTTGTGTATTTATAGTGACAAATTCCAACAGAATCATTCTAAACCTACTATTTTTCTTGGAAACATAGGTGTAAGAGCAAGATCAAGCCAAAAGATATGGGGGGAAAAAAAGGTGACTCAAAATTAATGACCTTATGTTTATGTCCATACTTTAAAAATGACAGTAGTTCAGTGCCTAATCATGTTGCATATCTAAATACAGTAAATTCTTTATTAAAATAGATTTTTAAAGAAGTACTAATTTAAAACCTGATAAGGCAAGTTCTAATGATTAGTGTTTTTTGGTATCACATATGGATTTCAAGGATATTCTGATTGCTCAATATTTCAGTTTAGAAACTACCTAAACAGGATAGCTCTTGATATTACAACAAGTTTACAATCTAGTATAAATTTCACTGTAAAAACCCAACTATAATACAAGGTTGAATATATTTAATTTTACAATGAACAAACAAAAAATTCTCTGATTAAAAAAAAATTCTTTGATAAAAGGAAGAAAAGGAAGAGACTAAAGGAAGATACGAAAAGGAAGAAAAGGAAGAAATGATCACTTGGGGATTCAGGAATATTTCTTAGAAGATGGCAACTGAATCAGGCATTTAGATAAACAGGATTTCAAAAGGCAGAAATATAAAAAGTCAGGATTTTCAGAAGAATAGTTAGAGAGCAAAACAGAAAATCTGAGAATGCACACAGCAAAATTTGGTCCTCACAGGATCCAAATGAAAAGAGGGGTACAGTAACAAAGTGAGGAGAGCAAGAGAAGGATGGAACAAGTGATGAAAGCCTCAAAAATAAATTTGAGAAGACAGCTGAACACGAGACAGAAAGTTTAGAAATAACTTTTTAAAGTCAAGGCTTTTCAAACTACACAAAACAGAAAATAATCTTTCTGAAACATGAAAATTTAGAAAATATGGATAAAATAGCTCACTTACTAGATGTGTGTGTGTGTTGTGTCTCTTTGCGACTCTATGGACCGTAGCCCACCAGGCTCCTCTGTCCATGGGCTTCTCCAAGCAAGAAGACTGGAGTGGGTTGTTATGCCCTAGTCCAGGGGATCTTCCCAACCCAGGGACTGAACCTCCGTTTCTTACCTCTCCTGCATTGGTAGGTGGCTTCTTTACCACTAGCGCCACCTGGGAAGCCTGTACTAGATGTGTAACCACTAGTAAATATTTGCTGTGATTCAATCAGTGGCTGTATTTCGCTGCTAATAAATTTTCACAATGAAACCTATGGACGCTCATAAGGTTACTAACCTTTCTATTTAAAACAGGATAATAATTTAAAAAACTATAACCCATAGCTAACATCCTTTTATAAGACTTTTTAACATCAATTTTTAAAAGCTGAATTTAGCTTTATTTAAAACAAAACAACTCTCATTTCATTGGCTTTTTCATTCTGCTTATGACTATGTATAAATAGCTATCAGTTTAAGGAAAAGGTGACTGACCCGCATCACCAAACGCGGCCTGGAGAGCATCAGCCTGGGCTTCTGGCAGGTGACAGACAGTGAGGCGGTCAGGTGGGGACAGCAGCACCCGTTTGTCAGGCCCGCCCAGTTCGCCCTCTCGGCACGCACGCGGTCGGGGCGATGAGCAGAAGCCGCTGGCTCCCTTCCAGTCTCCCCTTCTTGCGCGTGTGTGTTGGCGGGGGGGTCCGCCTCCGCCACCCCCGCCCCTCTCCTGTACGTGCTGCCTACCACCCACTCCTCCGGCCAGGGTCTGCAGGAGGGGCTGAGCCACCGTGCGCCGGGAGGTGGGGGTGGGGGTGAGCAATCCCTCCAGCCCTGGGGAGCTGAGGAAAATGTCCGCCTTCACTTAAGCTTTCATTTGAATACTGTGATCTGGTTTTTATTTCGAAATAATAAAAAAGCAAACCCAACTACAACGGCCTTTTCACCCTTCTTCCACTTTGTAACTTATCCTAGCCTGGCCTCATCGCTCCTCTTGACAGCACTCGCTTACTCAGGCTCATTTCATTCCTATTGTCTGGTTTTTTTTTTGGAAGAAACTTGACATCAACTTGTCTTTTTTTCTTTTTCTTCTGAGTATATATATTATATATATATAAATTATACACACACACACACACATGTCTGGCTACCTCGTTTTAGTTTACTTTTTTCTCTTTAGCCCTGGGGTTCTACAAGAAAAATGTTTTGAAACTGAAACACTTTTGTGCCTGGACTGGAAAGATGCCGATTGGGTTTGTACATCTTTTTCGTTTTGGCTTCTTCCCAAACCCCATTCATCCGGTGTTTCCCACTTCACATTTCTGGCTCTTATTTTTCTTTTTCTCCTTGTCCCTAAGCATTTGAAGATCCAACCATGCTCCTAAATCTTGACTTAATTTATAGCACAAATGTGTGGGAGACATGAAAGTTGGACTGTTTTGTTTTGTTTTGTCTGTGTGAGATGCAGATTGTGTCTTGAAAATGATGATTATATATGCAAAGTCTGCCCTGCCCTCCCTCTCTTCCACATTTCCTCATGAAAAAGTCACAGTGAGGGTTCCTGCAGGGAGCAGAGGAGCTGGAGCTGGCTTAGGAGGCCCGGGGCCCTCCTGTGAAGGGGAGGAGACTGAAATTCATGTCTTATGGCTATTCTGTTAATAAAACAGGTGTTGGTGGGTTTTTAAAATTCTGTTTCTAAATGGAGGAGTAGATGCCTTTCTTTATTTTGGTGGGGGTTGGGACTTGTGGCTTTAAAAAAAAAAATCACTTCTGAGTAGGATGTATATTTTCCTGTTGGCATTTTTTGTTTTGTTTTTTTGAATCCTTCACAGCAACATGCAAGACCATGGAGTTAAAGAAACCCAGAAACCTTAATTAATTGTACTGTTTGTGAATTTGTATAAATAATAACAAAGATCCTCTTAGAACGTCCATATTCTTATAGTAAAAGGTTAAACTGATATTTATATAGTAAAAGAGGAAATATGAAGTATGGTTTTTGAAAAAAAAAAGGTGACTGATATTAACCCATTTTACATTGCTACAGGTGATCAAGGAAGACTGACTTTCATAATGACTATATAGTATTTTGGTGTTGAGCTTTCAAAGATGCATTTTCAAAGGCAAAAATGTTAACACATTAAACTTAATAAAAGCTTAGGATTTACTAAATTTTACTTCATATATAAGTTAAATATTTCATTTTAGAAACAGTAAAATACAAATAGAAGTTTACTACCTTCATATCAGTTTCCCTTGGAATGTGATCCTTGAAATCTTCAATTGAACTGACAAGAAAAGGAATGTGGTAGGACAAGACCTAGGCAGGAAAACAAGTAATTATTTTTTAAAGGCAATCTCTAAATTTATGAAATGTTACCACTCAACTACTTTCAGCTTTCATAAAATTATTTTACTATGGCTAATTCATTTCAATGTATGACAAAACCCACTGCAATGATGTAAAGTAATTAGCCTCCAACTAATAAAAATAAATGGAAAAAAAAATTATTTTACTATGTCTATTTTCATATGATTTTCTAATGTAGCCATTAATGGAATGCATTTGATGGTAAACTGAGTATAGTCAAAATGGAAAATGCTTTAATGAAGAAAAAGTTGAAAAAGTAGCACAATATCCAGGCAAGTTAAATCTCTTGAATTTCATCACCAAAACAAAAAATAGTAACCATGATTTCTATATGCTTTATTTCATATAAAATATGAAAACTGGAATTTTAGTTATATTACTGCCAACTATAAATGGTAAAAGTTACTTTTAATTTCTGGGAAATTAAAAAGGACTATTTGGCTATGGAATATGTACTTAAAATGGCTTCTTACATCTCTGAGTGCTTCCTGTGCCAATGATCGGAAGGATAAAATTACACCAATTATTGTCATCCTCTTCAAGACACTGTCAACAGCTAAGTTTGAAGGAAGAAGAGAGAAGAGAGTGAATTGGATTCTGTCTTAACCTTGGAAAAACTCTTTGTCATAAACCCCCATGATAAAAGGCACAATTAAAAACTATTTGATTACAACAGATGACTAAAGAGGCAAAGGTATTGAAAGTTGATATTAAAATTAAGGAAATTATAGTTTACTTCCAGTAGAGTACAATGTTCTTTAAAATGGTTTAGATGGTTCATCAGAATCTTGAAACAATCATATAAGTAGCCTCCTGTATAATCCTATCACAGTAATGGTAGAGGCAGGAGGAAGGAGAAGAAAGACTAGGGAAAGAAGAAGCTGCTGATCAAAGTGGATCCTTAAAATCAAATGGCCCTGGATCCTGGAGATGCTAGATGTTGAGGTCCAGAGAGTCCAGAAACAATGAAGATCATAAGCAATAAGACCAGGTTTCTGAAGACTATGGATGGATTTGATCATTTACATTTTGGTTAGAGAACATTATTCTGATATTTATTACTATTATATTCAAAATTAAAATTTGGTTAAATAAAATCAAGGGAAATTAGGATTAGAAGGATAAATACCTTCATTTTTAAAAAGCCAACATTTATTGAATTACTCCTAATACACAAGGCACTGTACTATGTAATAAGAAAGCAGATACAAATAGAACAATAACCTAGACCTTAAGTAACAATCTAAAGGCACTGTCAAGAAAACTGAGAAAATAGAATCCTATTTATATGAAACATACATACACACACACATATTTGTATATATAACAAATTGCTAGACAGATGTATAGAAAAACTGTTAACTGCAGCTATACTTTTGAGCAGTAGGAATGAATTATTTTGTTTTGACACTCTACCTCCTGTGTGGTTTGTTTAAATCTTTACCATAAACATCTTTTATTACTACACATGAAAAAGCATAAAATAAGCCAAAATGTGATGAGAATCAAAATAGTAGTTAACAAAACAATGTAAGGCACAAATACAAATTCCAAGTCCTATTAATCTTTTACCTATAGGACTAAGCAGAGTGCTAAGACCCAGAAAACTAGAGGATGTTTAATGAAATGGTTAGTTAAGAAATGAGACTTCCTAGGAAGTTGTTACTATCTAGAAAAGATGAAAGAAAGAGAATAAAAGCAAAGATTTCTCTAAGAATATGTTATCCAATTTATGGACATTAAGGAGGAGTGAAAACAAAGGGGCATGCCAGTCTAAAAAAACAGGACAGGAAACCCAGAAAAAAGAATCCAGAGAATAAGGTGAGCGAGCAATCAGAAAATAAATAGTGTGATACAATCATATACTTCCCAAAGGATGTTACGCAGAATTTAACAAAGTTTGCAAAGACTGTATCTATAAATTCCCCTTAAATATACACAATAACAACATATTAAAAGTTCTGAGAAACTTCACAGTAAGAAATCTTGTTTAATTTACAGCTTCAATAAATAAAATAAATTTTTTCAAGTCACACAGAAATTCTGAAAAACTCAAAAGTTAATTGCAGATTGCCTCCCAATTCAGAGCTTTTTTTTGGGGGGGGGGCACACTGTGTGATTGTGAGATCTTAGTTCCTCCACCAAGAACTGAACCAGGGCCACAGTGGTGAAAGTACCTAACCACCAGACCACCAGGGAAGTCCCCAGAGCTACTTTTATTTATTTATTTCTAAAATTTATTGTCCTGAATGACCTACTTGTGCCATTCATCTTGTTTTCAGAATCAAGGTTTTTGACTCACCTTTGGACTGACGCCTTAAGCTTTTCAGGGCAAAGACCCACAGCATGGCCACAATCTGCACCACTTGCCCCTGGATTTCCCCAGCACAGGTATCTAACCCACCCATATCTGCATCTCCATACTGGTTCTTGGCCTCTGCAAGCCACTTCTCAAAAGCCTTATTCTTGCATGTAAGACCCCACCAATGGAACATTTCTGGTAGCCTCTGAAAACATTGTCAGTTCTAATAAAGGTCTCTGGTCGTACCTGAGAGATAGTAAGTACAATGGGAACTGTCTTTTCCTGAAATGTTGCAGATCAGTTACAGCAAACAGAACGGCGACCGTCAAGGAAAACTGTCACTTTGGGCTCCTTTTTGAGCACAGCAGCTATATGGAAGCAGCTGCAGCTTTGATAAGGGCCACCCCAGAGCTACTTTTAATAAATTACATAGCTTTCTATTTTTAAGGGTATTTAAAAGAATGTGTTAGTTGACTATGAAAATCAAACTGCTACAAAAGTACATCAATTTAGCACAAAGGTAAAAACAAGATTAGAGACAGTATTCTGGAAAACAGTTCAACTCAAAAGAGTAGCCTTCTCTATCCCCTAAGTAGGTCACTCTTGAGCAGACCTTTTCTTTTTTCAAATCACAAAAAAATATTTTGTTTCATTTCAACAAATAGGAGAGTTAAAAGTAATAGTAAACATGCATTGGACACAGCAGCGGGTCAATTGCCTCTAACCGGATGATATAGTCAGAATGTTGTTTATTAGCATGAAATTCAGGCCAGTAAGGCCAGTTGGGTGGTCAGATGGGTATTTAAAAAAGAAAGAAACATGAAAAATAAAAATAATAAGAATAAAGTAAAGCATACTAGAAAATATAAGTATACAGTATACCAATGAAGAAAAGACATCAGATAGGGATTTAAATAATAGTACTATTTATTCACACTCCTCTTCTACATAATGCTACCGAGTCAATCTCTTTCATTTAAAAAATTTCATTTCCTAAAGTTCCCAAGAGTAAACCTGACTTTTTCCCCTTTCAGTGTACAGTTCTAGCAAAAACTTTCAACATGCATAGATCTACTTATCATCATCACCATAGTGGCAAAGGTTCATCACCTCCAAAACATCTTTTGCTGCTTTCCCTTTATAGCTACAGCTAACACTGATCTGCTGTAAAAGGCAACCTGAAATGTAGTTCAGTGGGACCTTTTTTGCTTTTATTTACTTTTGGCAGCTCTGGGTTTTCATTATTGTGCATGGGCTTTATATCTAGTTGCGAAGAGTGATGGCAACTCTTTGTTGAGGTGCTTGGGCTTCTCGCTGCCGTGGTCTCTTTCACTGGGAAGCACTCACTCCGGGGGTGCAGGCTCAGAAGTGTGGCTCACAGGCCCTAGCGCCCTGGCTCAGTGCTGCAGCGTATGGGCTTAGCTGCTCTATGGCACATGGGACCTTCCTCCCAGACCAGGGATCAAACCCATGTCCCTGCATTGGCAGGCAGACTCTTAAATCACTGGACCACCAGGGAAGTTCCTGTAGTTTAGTTTTATATTAATTTTTATTAAATAAGTTTGTATTTTTAAAAGCAAGATAAGACAGCCTAAAAAAGTGATTCTCTAAGTCATTTTATAGTTTTATAAAATTTGATATAGCTGCAAAACATTTAAAAGAAAAATATCAAAGGGGAAGTACATAAACTATGCATGTCTTTAATTTACTTCAGGATTATCTTTTATTTGGGAAAATAAACTCTGGTTTTCTCAAATATAGAAAGTATTTTATTCAGGATTTCACTAAGTCTTTAAAGTTGGAAAGGCTTTTAAATTGAATCAATAGGAAGTGTGACTTTTAGTTTTTAATTATAACTCTGAGTTCAAGGACAAAAAGAAGATGAAATTAACTCAAGTGGACCTAAAACAGTTGCCTGGATAAACATACTTTAATAAACACACTTTAATAAATACTTAAGATTCACTGTTATTTCACAATATATCTTGCATAAAGAATCAGTATCAAGAAGATATGTAAAAAAAATTTTTAAGTTGGAGGCTCAGGTTTTCATGCAATAATCCTAGGTTAGCAATACAAAGGAACAAGTTACTGATTCACTTCACAAAGAGAGGTGAATCTCAACAATATATACAAAAGAGTATACACTGTTTATACGACAGAATAGGCAAACTTATCATTTCTATAGTGATAGAATGAGGGGTATGAAACTGACTACAAGGAATCGTGAGTTTTCTGAGGTGAAGAGACTGCTCTTCCATGGGGCTGCAAAGAGCTGGACATGACTGAACGACTGAGCTGACTGACTGACAGGCTGCTCCGCATGTTGACTGCGGTAATGGTTATGTGGACGTATGGCGGTGGTGGTTTAGTTGCTAAGTTGTGTGCGACTCTTGCAACCCTGTGGACTGTGGTCTGCCAGGCTCCTCTGTCTATGGGGATTCTCTAGACAAGAATACTGGAGTGGGTTGCCAGCTCTTTCTCCAGGGGATCTTCTCGACCCAGGAATTGAACCCAGGTCTCCTGCATTGCAGGCAGATTACTTACCAACTGAGCTCTAAGGGAAGCCCATGTGGATGTATACATCTGTTAAAAACCATCACAATGTTCACTAAAATGCATTTTACTTATATAAGCTATACCTCAATAATGCTGATTTTTAGAAAGTTACAGACTCAGAAGTTAAATCTCCTTTGGTCTAAATTAATGTAGGTTAACTTATTTAATGGACTCATGAGTTAACTGATAATGATATCAAATATTTAATACGTGATACTAAGAGTATGGCAAGGAAAAAAATTATGAAACAGATAAGCCATTCACTTAAAAGATCCTTTCACTGCAAAAATATTCTAGTGAAGAATGCTTTTCATAACTTACTACTTATATTTACATTTGAGCAAAAGCTAATAAAGACTGAGTTTCAGGGTCTTCTTAATTCTTATAAAAAGCATGAGTTACCCACATGATAATCTTTTAAAGAGGGCAGCCATCTGGTCGGGTTTGTCAAAGCTGGTCCGCATTTGTGTCAGCACATCAACATTCTCCACCACAAGTTTCTAAAAAAAAGAAAGATCTTAGGTCAGGCACAGACTTCCTTATGGTTGATGAGATAAGAACATACTTGGCAATTACAACTGGTAAGTAGAAAAAATAATACAGAAAATCCAGATGCTCTATGCTATGTTTTTGTTATTTTCATTAAAATAATCTTAAAATTAGTTAGATAAATTAATGTTTTCCTTCAGCTTGCAAATTCAAGAAGGGAGGAGTTCAGGAAAAAGCAATAAAGATAAGGAGTAGGATAAAGGATTATCTTATGCTTAGACACAGTACAGCACCTACAATAAAAAGCAGACACTGAAGTGGATATAGAAAGCAATAAATTCCAACCAAAACAAAAAGAACTTGCTAAAGTTAAAGCTGGCTAAAGATAGCCTAGAGTTCATCACTGGATCAAATACATAAAAACAGAGGAAGAAAAACATAGGGGTATGGTACCACTTCATAAAAATTCTAAACAGTAAAGTTTCCCAGCACTAAACAGAAATGTCAACTATCTACCTCCTCTTCCAAGACCACTGAGAAAAGGGAAGAGAAGAGAGGGAAGGGGGTGAAGGATAGCTAATTAAGAAAAGTACAACTCATTAAAGAATTCTTTTCTTAAAAACAGTACTGGAAAAAGTAATTTCATTTAAAAAATATAACTAAAACAAATATAATTAACTTTATTCTGGCAGAGATAATGGATATATATATTTGGAAAGCCTGGATATCTCAATTCAGCAGGTCTGGGTTTGGAAGATGTTGCAAGCATACTGTTAAAATGCCATAGGGACTGTGTTAAAAACCAATGGCTGATGACAAGATTTAAGGGAAGCATAAAAAGACTATATGGATCTATAAAAGTAATTTTTCCTATACAAGTATGAATTTTATGTTACACTTTGGATTATTTTTGCTTTTACTCACATTGAGATGATCAGTTCCAGTCATAATTATTTGCTAAATTCAAGCTCTACAATGTCTAATTAGAGAGACTGCTCTCTCTGAGGCCAATTCAATACTTGTCTCATCAGTCAATACACACTCAAATATATGCCCAACCTTGACAGTGTTCATGCATCTTGAACATAATAGCATGTATCAGTGAATCACAGACAACACTGAGTTTTAAATGCACCATTATTTCATATGCCATTAAGAAAAAAACTCTAATAATTAAACTGACACAATATTTTCTAATCATGTAAGACACATATAATTTCAGAAATACTAATATGGGGTAATTTTGTTTCAGAATCAATCAAACAAAATAGTATATACTTAAATAGTAAGATACAGTGATCATTTTTAAGTTCCTCTACTAGGCAATTTACAAACAATCCCATTTACCCTGATCCAAATGAGGGAGGTGACAGTCCACAATTTCACAACTGAGAAAACTGAGGCTCAGAGAGGTTAGGTAACTGGCCCACAGTTACAGGTATTAAACAGTGGAATTTGAATTCAGGTATGTCTGATTTTAAAGTCCATGTTCTTAAACTCTAAAGAAATGGCTGTTGATCTTCAGCGTGCATCAGAATGACCTGGAGGACTTGCTGGGCTCCAACCCCACAGGTCTTAATTTAGCAGGTCTTACGAAGGACCAAAAATTGTGCATTTTTAATTAAGATTCAAAGCAAGCCTGCCTCTGCTGATATGGATACCATACTCTAAAAACAATCACCCTAAAGTATTTAGCTGCACATTACTCTTGAAAAGCTAATGATGTCTCTTCTTGGAAGTATAGTTTATATAAATTTCTTTTCTCCCTCAATTGCATCCTGAAACAGAGTTTTCTATATATTTAAAGCCATGATGAATGATTATCTCTGACAAATGGCCCCAAAGCTGGAAAACTAATACTAGGAATTGTAACTAAATGATCTGAAACAACCTCAGATTAATCAAGTGAGACAAATCAAGACTACTACTAAAAAAAAAAATGTTGGTTTTCTGTTCTAAAGTGTTGAATTCTTGGCACAATTCGTATTTAAATTTCTTAGTTCATTTGAAAAAAACACCTTCTAGGACTCTGTGAAGAACTACAGAAGAAATGATCTGTAAAATGCCAAACCAATTCTTCTAGCAGGACTGGAAGAAGAAACTGACTTGATGGGCACCACTCCAAACACCCCAAGAATTTTAGTAGGAATGCAGACTGGTTGTTTTCTTCTACAGAAAGTAATAAACATGTTTTATCATTAGCACACATGCTTAGTGTTGACTATGTCTCTGACATGATTTATTCACAACCATTAAATATAAAGGGGCTTCCCTGGTGGCTCAGCTGGTAAAGAATCTGCCTGCAACGTGGGAGCCCTGGGTTGCAAAGATCCCCTGGAGAAGGGAACGGCTACCCAGTTTAGTATTCTGGCCTGGAGAATTCCATGGACTGTATAGTCCATGGGGTCGCAAAGACTCAAACACGACTGAGTGACTTCCACATTAAATATAAAGAAACTTTTCCTTTTATTTTATTGGCCCACAAACTTATTCTGAAACAAAAAGGTCCTCAGCTAAAACAGAAACTAAAATGGTCAATTAAGGTAACCTTTAAGATAAAAAGAAGATGGAGCCACATAATATTCATGTCAATTGAAATATAAAAAAAAAATTAAAAGCTAAGAAGTTACAGAACTATCTTAAAAATATTATAATCCCCCAAAACAATGTATTCATTAATTTCAAAAAAGATTAAAAGCTATATTGGCACCATTATGCTTTAACGTGTGGAGTGTGAGTTAACAATCTTTTCTGAGGAATATTTGATAGTATCAGTAAGTAATGCAAATATTCATACCTTGATTCACTATCTGAAATTTCTCCTATAAAAATGTTCAAACAAGTATGTAAACCTCATGAAATGCTGATTAAATGTAGAAAAATCTATATATATGTCTAAACTCTGCTTCTTCCAGAAATCCACTGAGGTGAGGAAAAAAATTAAAAAGGCATACATCTATAATAACAAAGGAAACAACAGAGGAAACAAGACCTAATGAGACAGGCCAATGAATTTCTAGAAGATGAAAACTGGAGCAAAGAATAAGTAGAGGTGAGAAATTTGAGTAGTTAAGTTCTTTTAAGGGAGATAAAGTACAGAAGGCAAGTTAATGGAAGCCTTGGAACCTAGGCAGGGTTCAGAAATTGTAGGCAGTGGCACAGAAAGGAAGACTTGGGTTTGATAACATGAGGGTTATTATATGCCTGTCTGGGGCATCTTCCACACACAACTTCTCAAGTGATGCTGACATGAGGATGCTACATTCAGGAACATCAGGTAAAGAAGGTGAAAGGCAAAATAAGCAGAATTCCTTTCCACTCCCACTTTGGGTAAGCTTTGTCTTGGGTTTTGATTATGGAGCTCCTTGCCCCACAAGACCACTAAGACTACAGCTGGATCTTACAAATCTTACTTCTGAATTAGCAAATGTCTTCACATCAAAAGTGGCTTCCAGGGGGACTTCCCTGGTGGTGCAGTGGTTAAGGATCCATGCTTCTACTGCAGGGGGCACAAAGCTGCCTCCCTAGTTGGGGAACTAAGATCTAGAAATAAACACCTCACTGTCTTTTTAGCTCTTCTTTAGAAGATGTCTGTCTTCTTTCCTTTCTTCCTATCTCTCTATTTAGCTTCATTTTTTAAAAAAGAGTTGTCCTTAAAGTAAGAACTGATCTAAATAATCTAGCCTACCCATACTGAAAGCAAAAATCTGTGTTATTTCTAATATAATTTTATAAACTCAGTATTCTAAGCAAAGTAATTTTATAGGACACTGAAAATGAAAAATAAAATTAGAATCAGCAGTGATAAACAAGTACTAGGAGATTTATCTCAATAAAATAAAACAGTGTAAAACAAACTGAACTTGTCTATATGAAACACCATTATATTATGACCATAACATTTCTTATGGAATAAAATATAAGGATACACACTAAAGTAGGCCTCAGTACACCGAGGCTGAGAAAACAAAGTTATGAATAATACCTCCAGTTCTTAATAATACAAAAGTAGTTAAATTCATAGAGATCTAAATTACAACTTGGGATTGTTAAGAATAATCTCTAAGAAAACCACTGTAAAGCACTGTGCAATTCCAGATAACTAAATCGTTAGGACTAGCTCTGTTTTGCAGAAATATCTAAATGATAATGGGCACAATGCTAGAAATGTAAAGCTTTCATATTTATGGTTGACCACATTAAGAAGCCTTCTGAAAAATGCTCAACTAAATCATGATTTAGTGCTGAGAAGCAAAAAAAATAAAAATATAAAGCTCCTAAACAGCAAAACATAACCATGTGGTTTTTCTAAAAGTCTTACAACTAATAAAATATGCAAGGTTTTATGAAGGTAAACTGAAAACTCATGTCGAGTAAGGAAGATCACAAATAAGATTACTAAAATAAAAAGTTTTAAAGAAAAAAAGTTTTAGTATTATAAACCATCTTGATTTTGGGGTATATTACACTTAATGAGAAACCCAAGTTAACTCACACTGATTTATCTCCAAAGATAATAAATCTAAACTCTTACCCAAAAAGTTTCTTTTGGCTAGCTTTTAAACTCAGGTTTAATACTATCAAATGTCTGAAAAAGAACCCAGCCAAGAAATAACACTCGAGTCAGAAAACCCATAGTATTAAAAAAGAAGTCAACATTATTTACATTATTATTACATCAACTTTAAATTTTAGTATCTAAGAAAATAGTCACTCCAAGATATAAAAGAGAAATGTTAAAACATCAACTTTTACCATTTATTTTAAAGAATAAGAATATACTTGATAACATTAAGGACATAGCTAAGACAGTTAAGTTTATAAAAGGATTACTAAGAGACTATCAGAAAAATCTGAACTAAAAAAAGATCCAAAAATAATGAACAATAACTAACAAGAAAAATTATGAAAATAATAAAGGTCTAAAAAACAATATCATACAAAATATAAGATGTGGAAAACCAAATAAACAAATGGGACCTAATTAAACTTAAAAGCTTTTGCAGAGCAA